CCTCCTCTTATCTCGCGAGACGCTCCTTTGCCTCGCGAGATGCTTCCCTTGTTTCGCGAAACCCTCCTTTTATCTCGCGAGACGCTCCTTTGCCTCGCGAGATGCTTCCCTTGCCTCGCGAAACACTCCTCTACCTCGCGAGGTGCTTCGCTACTTAGCTTTATATGCGATCAAAATTTATACAATATATAAATTGCATCTATGCATACAAGACAATATTTTCAAAAATTTGACTTACACCACTATGGCTTTTACCCGTCCATATGTAACATTATTTATAAGAAAGTTATATTGTAATAAGGAATTATAAGGAAACGTGTAATAAATTTGAAATTGTATGATACTAATGCCGGATATATTATACGAAATCAACATAAGACGATTTCTTAATAGATAATAACGGTGTTTATTCTTTATCTATAGAATTTCACATTTTAAAAATTATCGTTAATTATTATAAATTTCACATAAATGTGAAGGTTTGAATCAACGCTCAAATAATAGCTTCTTGCTTGCAAAATTTGACATTTATCTGAAAATTAAAATTATAAAATTACGATTATATTTTTCAAAATTATGAGATACAAAGTTCGTAATAATTTTGAAGAATGTAATCTTAATTTTGTAATTTTAATTATCGTAATTCGTTATTAATTGGAATACGCAAGATGGAAGCGCGGCCGCCGCGGCCAGAATATCCCCTCCAGCTGGCTAGTTCGGCTTCGGCACGAACCTAGCACGGACGCAAACCATGTGCGGTTACCGAGCGATACGACGTAGTTGAGTTGCATTTTCTCAGGCGGCGCGTCGGAAAATGCAACACAGCAACACACGAAAAAGGCCGGGATGGCCTCTCTCAGGTTTCTCTCTGGTTGTGGGAAGAATGAATTTATCGTGCATTTTTGAATGGTGATTGGTTGCGATATCTCGAGAGGTCGAGAAAGAAAGAAGCATCGAACGTGTCGACCGGTCGATATCGAACGTCGGCCTGGTCGGCCATATCTCTCTAGTGGCGAACAGGTACACGCTTAACCAAGGCTACGCGCTCCGTCTTGTGTCGAAGGATAGTTTGTTTCCGCGAGGAAAAAAAATGGCCCGAATTACCGCCGTGAAGGAATATCTCGAGAAGACGTTGAGGGACGAGAGCAAGTCATGGACAAAGATGTTCGTCTTCGCAGAGGCGAAGACCGGCATCGATCGGCTGTACATTTTTGTCGGTGAGTCGCCGGACGATTACACGCTGATTTTCCAGTCATTCTTATTGATTGGCCGGCTCGGCCGCAGGCATTTAGATAATTATTCAGCCTCTATGCTAATGCGCTCTCACGGCTCCTCGAAACTCGTTATCGCGCGCTCGCGTTACGCAACGCGAATGTGTCTACCTTTTTTCCCCCCTATTTTTTACGTTAACGCCACGTTTCTTTCTCGAATAAATATTTCGGAGCTCTTTCCGAAAATCTGGAACCTTGATCTTTGTCGTACAATCGCATGACGGTATCCGGAATATCCTGTATTTTCTGTCTATTTGCGTAAAAATTTCCGTAAACAGCAGTACGTTAAATTTAATTAGTAGTAGGGACCGATTTCATCGTCTCCGATTAACTTGATCCTCCGATTAAACTCACTCTTTGTCTCTTTCTAAGAGGGAAGTCAGAAAGAGATGAAGAGTGAGTTTGATCGGAGAATCAAGTTAATCAGAGACAGCAAAATCGGCCCCTCTATTCACAGAAAGACTACGTTATTATTGTTATTATTTTTGTTATTTACTATTGATAGGATCATTGATGCTGCTGGCTTTATACTTGGTGTTTGGATTGGGACAACAGCTAGTGTGTAATATAGTCGGTTTTGTTTATCCCGCATACCAATCTATGAAGGCGTTGGAAAGCCCCAAGAAAGAGGACGACACAAAATGGCTTACCTATTGGGTCGTTTTTGCCGTATTTACTATAATAGAATTCTTTTCTGAATATATCGTCTGCTGGTTTCCGGTTTACTGGCTGTTCAAGGTATAAATTTTAAAGACACATTAATGTCCATTTCTATCAATGTAGATTAATTTTGATCTCGGTTTCCCTGATGGAAATATTTTGTTGAAAGTGTTGTGAAATCGATGAAAATTGAAATAAAAGTTATTGAAAAATATATTTCATATATTTTAAAATAAATAAATTTTCCTTATGAATTGTAATACTGTGAAATATAAGGAAAGTTAAATCCCAGATAGCACAGTGACAATTAATTCCGTCATAATGACATTAGAGACGGCATTATGACGGAGTTAATACGTCATTTGACGTCACTGTGCTATCTGGGATTATACTAATGAAAAATAATAAATTTTTTGAAATATGAGAATATCATAAAATTAACTAAATTTAACTAAAAATTGAATTTTTACTGAATATTGATGGAATAGTAATGAAATGGGATTAATTGAGAGAGTCAGAGAATTTAAAATATATTTCAGTAAAATTTTTTATTATATTTTCAGTAAAATATTTCCGTCAAGGTTAACTTACTTTTTATCCTTTTCTAACTCTTGGAATTAGAAAAAGATAAAAAGTAAGTTAAACCAGGATTAAAATTAACCTGCATTAATAGAAATGGATACAAGTCTTAAAGATAGACCCTGCCATGGTCAAATATTGATAAATTTATGAATTTGTGTATGCAGTGTATATTCTATGTATGGTTGATGGCGCCAACTGAGTACAACGGTTCCTTGATTCTATATCGCCGAGTCATCCGTCCAAAGTTTATACAGTATCAACCTGGATTAGACAGACTGTTGTCCAATGCACGTGATACAGGTAAGGCGATTATCTTATCAAAAAATAATCTGGCTTCCCTAATACTACGCACATGTCTGTCAGAGAAATATTTATTTGCGAATATTAATCAAAGCAAAAATATAAAGATATATTACTTTTGTAGCAGTCAAGACTGCAGCGGGAGCATTGCTGACCAATAAGGAAGATTAATGAAGCTGTAAATTGAACATAATAGAAAGTCCATTTGTGTCTTTCCCTTTACTCATTCCTAGCAGAGAGAGAGCGTGGATTTTATGCTTTACCGAATATTATTGAGCGTTGTTACATTAACGACTACAAAGATGAAGAAAATGCCAAACGAATAGAAATTTTAAATATCCTAGATACAATAAGCAACTGTCAAGTGAATCAGGGAAAATCAAAGTTGTCCAAAATTGTGAATAGATAACGAATACGAAGGATGCACGAATGAAAAAAAAAGTCTCCCTCTGAAAATAAATCATTTATAGTATAATAACCTGGTTTCAGAATTACGGAATAGTGTTGTTAGAAACACAGTTTCAGCATGGAAATAACGTTTTATTTTCAGATAAGCTCGGCTTATCGTTTATAGTAATTCCGAGCCAACTGAAAATTTGGAATGTTTTTGTACAATAGGATAGACTGGCCACGTGTGTCTGCCATTTGCGTAATCATTGATGATATACATGTGTTAGAATACTTTACTTTTAGAGGAAAGAGTTTCACCAACATTAAACTTTCTAATTACCTGATTTAATTCTTTATTTTTTCTAAATTATTTACTCAATATCAATTATACAATAATAAAATGTCAAGTTTTTATTTTAAAATATTTGCGGTGTTAATCTGAAATGAATAAGATGTTGGTGAAATCAGTTTTTACCGCGTATGTTTTACTAGGTAAGTTTATCAGGCATTGTTGATAAGAAGCTGGTAAGGATGATTGAAATACTTAAAATTAGCAAAGATCCAAGATAATTGGAAACGATATATGATATATTCAGATACGTAAAGATACCTCGATAAATCTAACTAAAAATTTGAAATCTTTGATGACCATTGTTGCCATCTAATTGTTATATCGCGATAAGGCGAGAGTTCTGAGATAAATCAGAAATTATGCCTTCTAGTTAGTTCACGAGTCGTCAATGAAACGACACGCACAATTAGCTTAAATTTGTACATTATATATGTGAGATTGCATCGTAACTTGCATGCGATTGTCTTCTTCTGTTTATATTCTATATAAAAGAATATAGTATAGTCTACCAACATCCTCAAATAGCTTCGACTTTGAAGTAATAGAGACAAGCTTAGGATATGTGTATATTGCTCAAATTAAACCGTCTTGTACAAGTTAATAACCACCTTGTCCGACCAAGTCGGTGTGTTACATTTGTGGATCCTATGAAAATCTAAGGGCATTTTTCCATGTCTTTTTTCCATCACTTTTAAAATTCGTCATATGGTTATACCGATTGTTACCGAGAGGATGATATTACGGGTTTTAAATAAAAATGTAAATTTAGAGGTATTGACCAAAATTATAAACCATTATACACGCACTGCAATAAATATGTTTTTATTTTATACACTTCCTCTTTTCTTCCTCTTTTTTTCCTCTTTTTTTCTTTTCCGCTGATAACTGACATCATTCACAAACGGAAATCGATTTCCTGTAATGAGCTCCTGTGAAAATCCCAAATGATTGTATACAGCAGCTTCATTAAATAGTAAAAGCAAAACAATTAAAATAATTTAATCCTGAAGAGCGTAAATAAATGTATATACATATAAGCGCACAATACTAAGTTCCCGTAAATCAAATTATGACAAAATGAATATTCGTTTCAGAAATACATATTTTATCAAATATAAATTCAAAATTATTTGTCGATATTTAGAATTACGAATAGGGAATTAAATATTGATCATTTCAATTTCAGTTAAATAGGATTGTTGTGCTCTTTAGGATTCAAATTCATAAAAAATGTAAAAAAATTACATTTCGTTGAAGTGGAATTTCTCTGCAGTCAACGCGAGCTTCCTTATATGACGAATAGTGGACGCAGCTGCAATCTGCACCTCTGGATCGTCCGAACCCACCAAACGCAATACGTGCTGTTTGAAAATTCCATCAACATTTTCAGAATTTAATCAGGATTTTCGAAAAGTAGAGAAAATGTAATGTATCGTCTCGGTATATTGAACCGATAATAATTAATCAAATTGTGTGAAAAAGATGTAACTCTAGATATCTGGACTTTTATTATTTTTATCGAACATTCTACTTATGAAATTATCTCTATTGAAGATATCTTTATCGGTTCATATTAAAATATTATAAACATTTATAATACTAAATTAATATGACTTACAAATTTTTATGAGAAAATAAATTTTCAGATAAAACATATTCTTTTTTGAACTTTGAAAATTTTGAGATTTCGTAGAGTATTATGCTTTAATATCAAACAACTATTAATGTTATGCACGTATGCAAAAACGCAAGATCCTAATTGTACCTTGATAACGCCGCAGGTGTGCATGGTCACGCAATTTAAGGGCTCCTTGCTCAAATGGTACACGGCAATGCAAACACCCTTCAACACGTCCTTGTTCTTGCTGATCATGTAATTAACGAGCGGCGCGACAGCGTTCAGTTTGCCGAATTCATAACTGTTCCGATCCCAATCGCAGCAATAGGCTATCGCCAATGTCAGATTAGCGCGCAAGTTCTCATCGTCCTTAAAAAAGAAGTCATTCCATTATCGCGCAGATGTTTCGATTAAAAATATTTAATAGGCAGTAAAATATTTAAATGCGGCTATTTCATGGGGGAAAAAACGGAGTAAACTGTTAAGTATCATTATTAATGATTTGATAAAAAAGATTTGAGGAATCATATAAGAAGCATATGCCAACAAGCGCGCATTATATTTTATTCCGTATGTTTACCAAAAAAAATTTACCAAAAAAAGTTTAAATTGTGTAAATGCTATTCTGCGAGTATATTAACTATTATATATTGTCATATCTTCCATGAAGTAGCCGTGCAAATTAAGTAAAAAAAAAAAAATCATCGTTATATTAAGCAGCGATGAACCAACAGTTTCCACGAGGGCAGCCAGTTTTTTCACGACGCCGTGATCCGTCAGGATACCCAGGTTTTCAGGATCGGTAGCGATCTCCGCGATCATCGCGCAGACCGCGCTGAGCACTTCCGTGTCTTTGCTCTCCAGGAGGCTGACCGTGAGCTCCAGGCCGCCCACGAAGGCACGCACCATTTCCGGCGAGTCCTTGGAGTGCCGTATGCAGGGTACCAGAGCGAGGCAGGCGTTACGCTTGATGACATCGCTGGGGTGCTTTAGCAGGGACCAAACTAATCGCACGCCGTCCAGCCGATGCTCCGGGTCGTTGATAATGTCCATGCATCTCTCATCGACGGCGCACTCTTTCAGCACCAACGGCACGTTCTCCAGTAATGGCTCGTACGTGGCGCTCAACAATCTAATCTGCAAAGGTCTCTGAAGTATTCATTCTGCGGTATCGCCAATACCAGAGGATAACGAGGAAACATTGATCGTCGCGAGGATGGCGTGGCGCACGTTAACTCGATTAATCGTCGGGAGCCAGTACTCGCAAACACCCTCCGATGCGCAATCCAATTTTCGCCTCATTTGGAAATTATCTCTCATATAAACGCGAATGGGATAATTAAACGTAAATGGATCAACGCACAGCGATATTCCAATAACAAAATTAATAATTGTTATTAAATTATTAACATACACGATGAGAATTCATCTAATAATTGCTCGAGGATTGTTATAAAAGAATCACAACTATCGGTTTTATTATTATTTCGAATAAATGCCGGGAGGAATCTCTTCTGTCTATATCAATATAATTCGTCCTTTCTTGGATATGGTATTTAAGTCATTAGAACACGTAAATATGATTAAATTATTTCATGTCTAAGTAAATATTTAGATACATAAAAATTATCTTTTATTCGAAAAATAAAAAAAATTGATTATCCATGACGTCACATCTTTGAGACCATCAACATATGTATGTGTTTATTCCCTCTTATAATCCCAATGTATAAAGCATACAGAGTTCGACAAGAGAAGCAAAGTTCGATCCGGCAGCAGAGAGAGAAGAAAACCAGAGACAGAACTACAGAAGTGTATTTCCGACTTTGAACGGTCTTTACCAGTTTCGGTAGACCCTCGTTAGTCCTCAAGACGTCCCTGTTAGCGGAATCCTTACAGCACTCGGCAAGGGCGCCCACGACGTTAGCCAACACCCGCTCGTCCTCGTTTTCCTCGAGCAGAGGCACCAACGACGCTACGAGGTCGTTCTGATTGAACCTCATTATGTTCTCCGGACTGATGGCGCATTTCCAAATACCGCCAGTGACAGCAGCTAGCAGACGCTTGTTGGCGTGCACCTCGTCGCTCTGCACGAGTTTGCAAAGTGGATCCAGGCCACCGGCTCGACGCACCATCGTTCGAGTTTCCCGATTCGAGGCGCACTTGAAGATGGCCAGGGCGGAGTTCTCCTTCAACTTCGTGTTGTCGTTCTTCAAATGTCGCACCAAATCGTTGATGATGCCCACTCGCTCAAACGCCTCCCTGAAAACATTCTGCACACACGCACGACTCAAATACGACACCAACTATAGGAAAACATTTGTAATGAAAATTTGAAAATGAGTTGTCGAACTAATTATAATTATTTAATAAATGCGATAGTGGATTTTGAATAATTGTAATAGTTCACAATATCGACGTCTGATATTTAAATTTCACGATATTTAATTTATTTTTTTATTATTAATACGGTAATATTATATGATCATTTTTAACGGTCCATTTTCATAATTTAATTTTATGTATTTTTCAAATCAATTAATATTATTTTCATAGACAGATAATTATGTTATCTTAATTAAAATACTGTTAACAGATAGAGAAAAGAATTCAATAAACCAGATCAGCGCACTGCTGTACGACGCCCATCGTGGGTACGATCAGCTGAGTGTGTTTCGATCTCAGGAAACGCGACATCAAACGAACGACGCCGTGTTGGCGAAGTTCCTCCTTGACCTTCGGACTACTGCCCAAGGAATCTAAGACCTTGGCGCAGCCTATAGCGACGGCCACGAGTTCTTTGCTAGCCTCGCTCAATTCGTCGTACGACCGGCGGAGAACCTCGTCCGGCACATCCATTACATCCAGCTGCCGAATCAAAGTTTGAGAGTCAATAAATTGTCACGCTGGCCACATTGAGAAAAAATATATTTAAATGTTAAATATACTGTATGCGAAGCAAGAGTCTTGGAGACGGACTCATTCGTCATATGTCCATTTCTACTGCAATGTAGATTAACTTTTTATCTCTTTCTTACAACTAGAAAAAGATAAAAAGCATTGCAAGTTAAAGAGATAAAAATTAATCTGCATTGATAGAAATGGATATTATTTGAATAATTGCAACAAGGTAACTTACTATTAGCGGTATTCCACCGCGAATTCTGATCTGTTTTCTAGCCTTTCTGACTCGAGCTATAATGGCCATCGTTTCGGCTGCCAAAATCTGAGAGAATAAAAAATTATTACTATACATTATTATAGTACAATAAAACGAAGAGACAATAACTGCTCTAAAAAGACAGGATTTTTGGGATTTCAGTATTTTTAAACTGTTGAGTTTTATTGGCTTAAATCAATGGAATTCTAAACTAAGCATTTCGCGCATAAAGACCAAAAAAGCCGATAAAATCGGAGGAGTTATTGTAATAAGGGTCAATGAACAACCTGGATATCTCTAGCGGGATGCTTCAGCATTTGGATCAATGGCGTCGTGATGTCCAAGTCGATTAAATATCGTTTCATATCCGTGGAAGTCGCAATTTGCAGTAGGACCGACAACGAGCCGTTCTGACATTTGATGTCACTCGTTTCGAGAAGATTTACTAGAACTTCGAGACCGCCCATTTCTTGGATAGCTTTCTGTATGATCTGCACCACGAACGAGTTTGAACCATGCGGATACGAGACAGACAGATTATTTCAAATTAAAGAAGTAAAAAATTGACAAGTAAAGCGGAAGAATAAGTCTATACACAGAATTATTCATCTTGTTATATAAATAGCTCTCCTGATATTTTTTTCTTGCAGTCTAACATATAAAATGATAAGTTTTATAACGAACCTTATTGGTGAGATCGTAATCCTTCAGTAAACACAAGGATACCATAGTGGCGGTCTGGTTGCCGGCTTTCATATACTTGATGAGCTTCTGTATGTGCCAGAATTCGGAAGGCACTTCCGGGTGATCTTCCTGAAGATACCTGGCCTCTTCCTCGCTCTCGGACTCCGGCTCGTCGTCCGAGCTCTCCTCCTCGGCTTTCTCGCTGACAAGACGAATTCGAGGTCCATAGGGTTCACCAGTAAGCAAGGATACCTGTTTCGGAGGCTCCGGCTCGGCTGTCTCCGTGACTTCTGGCTCCGATCTACAGAAACAGACCTAATATCGCTTAGTCCTATACATCTCCATTTCGTCTTATTTATTTTTGGAAAGGTATTCCAAATTCTCACTCCACTTTTCCGAAAAACAGTAAAGTTTGGAAATATATTAATCTTGTCTAAAAATTACTATGCCATCTACAAATTATTACATTGTAAATAACTATAATAATTTAAAAGTCAAAGGTTACGAAAACATAACTGGATTTATAGGACGATTCGTCTCCACGTGAATAATTCGTGTTCGTTCGCTTACTCAGAATGTTCCAACTCTTGCACAGCCTCTTTCTTCGGCGCGCTCTCTCTCTTCTTCTTCGGAGGCATCTTTCGCAACGGGCATTAAGTCCGCGGTAAACTCTCTCCCAAAGGGAAGTCCTTTTCTCATCAAAATATTCGTTTTCGGACTCGAAACACCTTTGACCATCCCCGTACGCTGGTACAGCGAACTATCGATCAAACAATTACCGCCAATTTCGCTGCCCCGCTGAAAATAACGGAACTTTAAACGCTTATCGGGGAAAAAAAGAACAGAAACGAAATAGTAATCGTTTTTTCGATATGCATCGCTATCGCGCTGTCTGAAGTAAATCATTTACACGTCAGTGTCCATTTGGCTATATGATTTGGCGAATATCATCTTCGCAAAATTTTCAGTTATTTTCAAAGGGCGCATGGAAAATGTCGCGTAAATTATTGATGACCTGCTGACGGGGATTTATATAGAACAATAAAACATTCCTTTCGCGAAATTTGTTCGACCACGAAGCGGCCGATCCGGAAAAAAGATTCGTAGGTATGGAGACGAGCGAAATCTCGTCAAACGAATTCGGGCTTGGCGAGAGCGACACTTCGATCTTCGCGAAGATATGTGCCGTCCGAAGAAGCTGAGGAAACGACACGAGGTGGAATCACGACGTGGGTGACATGAACAAATGTTCGTCGTGCATATATACGCGTCTCCCTTCGCCCTTATCCTACTCATGCTCTCGTTATGTGCCTGGCTCGGCGTCTGCCGATGGGGATTCGGCTACAATCTGAAAGACCGAGAAGTAAATTGTTATTAAATTATAAAAAAGAATCAAGCTCGTGCGTTTTGAAACATAAACAAAATATACACAAATAAAACGTCTCTATGTATTTTTAAGCATGTCTAAAAACGTCTTTAAAATGTCTCTTAGATACGTGTATGTCTAAAAGATGTCTCAGAGATGTTTTTTAAGATATCTTTTAGACATGCACGCTGTCTGGATTTGAATTTAACATCTCTCGATTGTTCATTTATTGGCTTTTAAACTTTCTACATTATGAGTGTTTTCCATTTACTGACACAAGTCGACACAAGTCTCGTTCTGTCTTTGTTACTCGTTTAATACCAAGAAAAATAGAACGACGTCTGTGTCTACTTGTGTCACTAAATGGAAAGCACACTATACTTTCCATCTATATATGTTGTTTTTTGGACCCTCAGAGTGTATATACGTGGGTCTAACATGTTCGACTCTATTTTTCCCTAATACCTTAAAGTATTTTAAAAAATCTGAAAAAATTCATGAAACATCTGATGTTTACATTGTAATTGACGATTTTAGTTATTTTGATAAACATCGTTTATTTAATATTCTCTGGCAGGCTTGCAAGTTTTACAGTTACGAGATGTTATTTTGGTTTGGACGCCGTAGACCCATGTATACAGACGGAGGGTTAATTATTGTTAATTATCATTATTATACATTAGAGTTGCATGATTAGAGTACGAGATTCTCGACAGAGACCTCCGCGTGTGTAACGCTCGTCTCTATTTTGTAGATCGCTCATTGCCTGGTGGTCTATTTTGTCATTATCACGTTATTGAACGTCGTATTTCTGGGGCACATACGATTGTTCTACGATTACCCGCCGGAGACGGCCGGCAATTAATCAGGTGATAATCAGATAAAAAAAAGGCAGCGCCATGACGTCAGTTGTTGATTAATCGGCCGCTAGATGGTGCTACCCGTGCTGTTTCCCACTGTTTCCAGTCAAAAGTGCCGTCCGGAACTCCGTACTCGGGAGCACGAGTATCAATTTATACAAGTGGAATAAAAAGTTCTCACGGCATTATTTACAGCGAAACGTAATTAGTTATTTCTGGTGAATCCGCGAAAAGTGCTTCTAGTTATCGCAGACAAGCGAAGACAGCGCGGGGATCGATCGGCAGTTTCTAACCTAACCTAAAATCGGAGCTACGTGCAGTAAATATTTGTCAATTATCTTGAACTAGTAAATCATATCTAACGAGATAAATTCTAACGTTGCTTCTAGCATTATATTAATTTTGGTAGATACATTTTTGGAACATTTATTGTGTCTAGCTATATTCTCCACGGATCTAAAGACAATGAATTCTAACTGTAAAACGTTCGGTGCAGAAAGAATGCAGTTGTTCCTCGCGTCATTTTCCAGATGGGTCTTGCACGGCATCTTCAATTCGCCAGCCGCACGATCTTCGTTCAAAACAACGACGTGGAGAAGGCTTGTCGCATATTAAATCGCATACTGTCCAAGGAAGACATCTTCGGCCAGTACAGGCGCACGAGGTACTACGAGAAGCCGACTCAGGTCAGACGTAGGATCAACTTCGAGACGTGCAAGTCGATCTACAACGAGGACATGGATAGAAAAATCAAATTTCTTCTACGCAAGAACAGAGTAGATCCTTTTCCCGGTGCGTCGTAAGACTTATCGATCCCGTCTTAGATTACAATTAGAGTACAATTGCAAATCTGTCTACAAACTGGCGCCGTACAATTTATTTAAGAATAAATCATTATCAGAAATATAAGAAAACGGACAGCGATGTTATTCCTCCTGTTTTATTCACACCAACGTATCTGATACGAATTGATTCAGGATACTTTCTTAGCTACAGGGAGCTTGCTAATATTTTCATTTGCTCGCGTATTAAATGCCTTGACGTAGATATCGCTCTCTATTATATTTAACGCAGATTGATTCGAAGGTATTATATACGGATAATCAATTAGTATCCATCGTATACCGAGATACAAAAATACAATCTGCATCGGAGATAATGGATCAATACGGAACGCGCTTTAAACGTAAACGTTAATGCCGTGCCAAGGGGCGAAATGAAAAATCATCCTGGCGGGCAGAAATGCGTTTTCCCGTTATCTCGCGCCATAAGTAACTCCAGGAAGTCGGTTCTCGCGCGAGAAACACGCATCTTTCTCTTTCTCTCTCTCCTTTTTTTTTCCTTTCCACCCCTCTTTCCGTAAGCGACTTCCATCATCTTTCTTTCGCGAGGGAGGCGAGAAAAGACAAAACCGTCCGGTTGGTCGGTCGGTCGGCTTTCCTGGCAACGACTCCGCCAACTTGGCGAAAATTGAATAGATAGTGGCGCCCGGACTATGCCAAGTTTTCCAGCGGGGTTTGTCGGTGGACAGGAGGGTAATTCGACCTCGTGGGAAGAAAAGGAGACAGAGAGAGAGAGAGAGAAAGAGAGGGAGGGAGAGAGCGCGCGGTTGCAGCTCCTGTATCCTCATCTTGGCGATAACGCGGACGGCGCCGGCGTCCTATTAGAGTAGGATAAGTAGTTCTGCCCGCGCTCGCGACTCGATCTTCGAAACTGTTCCCACGGCGAAAAACGTTTGGCAAAATGGAATATTAGCGCGAAACTGGATCCTTTATATTCGTTTATATTCAGCGTCGCGTTGCGGCTCGCTCTCGGACGCACGGGTATTCAATTTTCGAATATGCGTTTGGCGCTGGTGTTAAGTCCGCGAGTTTTTCCAAACGATTATTGTTGTTTACTTGAAATTCCTCGATCTTGTTTTTCTTATCTCGAATTATCAAGAAGCAAATGTAATTAAATATTCTATTTTTTTTTGTTCCAAGAGACCCTTTTACGTGGATTTGTTTAGTCTTCAAAGTTTGAAAAGTAATAAAAAATGGTTTAAACTACAAGTCCGTCAGTTTAGTAATATACATACAATCTACAAGTTCTTTAATTAGTAAGTCGGTCGGTGCTCATTTCTCATTTCAAATAAAGGAGTACCACGCAAATGAAAGATTCATCCAAAAAGGCCGAAAGAAATTCCAGTCGTCTGCGATTTTGTAAGAATATACCTCGCGAAAGATGCAAATATTTCGCATAACGGATAGACTGTCCCCGGGAAGGGTTAAATGGGTTAAATGGCGATAAATTCCGAGAAGTCGCCGGGGCGGGAGAGGGCAGCCGGAGGGACGCGGAAAGCTTCTCAAAGTGCTCGTCAACTCGTATAATCCGCGATTTATTTGACCCCGGCCGTCATAAATCCGGCCTCGGTGCGTTATTCCCGTAACTAGGAGTAGCAAACGGATCTCATTTCAGCCATCGGGACCGCACTGTCGTGCTATCAAAGAGGGAGAGAGAAGGATCGTGAGGGGGGGGAGAGGGGGGGGGGCGACGATCCTCGCGTCGTCTCGCTTGAGAAGGCGGTTTGGCTTAACTCCCGGGAATCTGGATCCGAAACTATCCGGCGAACTACTCGCAAGACAGTTTGCCCAGAAACGGATTTCTCAATCCCGGGGGATGTCACCCTGCCTGCGGCCCCTCCCCCCCGCCCTCCGGGCCGCCGTTCTCCTTCCCTCGACCGTTTCGATTTGAAACTCCGCGTATACCTCCACCGCCGCGCCGGCCGAATAACACGATGGCTCCATTATTGCGCGAGCGCTTTTGGGTATTATGTGATGAGATCGGATTTCAAGCCTGTCCGTCAAAATTGTCGAAATGGAAAAAAAGAAGCGTAAAAAAGAAAGGATTTTGTCTGCGGGAAGCGCAAATCGGCGGCTCCTCTCCCTCTCCCGACAAAAGCTTAGATCTGATAAAACTGCCAACCGTTGAATATATCTTTGCGCGCGATTATGCCCCGAATTAAATTTCTGTTGAGGCAGATCTACTCTAAATCCACTGAAAATACCATCTTCGTATATGTCCGTAATTTTATATCGGATTTATTTTAAGTAAAATCTTTTAATTTAAGTATATTTTTCATTTATTTTAAGCGAAATATATTCTAATATTCAACGATAACCCCGTATTTAAAAATTCTCGACTATATTGTACAAATTCTCGATTATTGTGCAAAAAAACGAATGAATTATAGATCCATTGAAAAATACATCGGGCACTGTCACATCGATCTCCTTATTTTCCATGCCGCGATCCGATATTCGACAAAGATATCGGTAAAAGCGCGGAGTCGAGAGAACTACGAAATTTTTATTTAAACATTGCTCCGACGTTTGCCTCGCTTATGAAAACATTCGAGGCGAAGCGAAATTATGTCGAGTGTCTTTAGAGAGACAGAGAGGGAGAGAGAGAGAGACTAGCGGATCGTTTTTCCGCGAGACGGAAAACGATCGCCTGAGCTCACGATCTCACCGAATGTTCGCCGAGTTTTCAGCTGCATCAAAAATTTCGGATTTAAGAGTTCGTCTTGTCACTTCGCGGCTCGAGCCGTGTGTGCTTACCGCAAACTTTATTCGCGACACCAACTTATCCTCTCTCGCTTTATAGATCAATTCGAAATACCTCTTGAATTTGATTATCATCTTACGGGACGACAATATTTTTTCTAGGATCAATCTGATAATTTGTACAATAAACGTGCTAGGAACAATATATCGTGATGTCAGTATAATCATGCCGTCGGTTGTTTGCCGATATCTATAAAATTATCTAGATGATCACATCCAAATAATGAAATAAAATAATTTTTATCATATTTAGATAAAAAAAATTAAATCTATTCATCTTCATCTTAGATAAAAAATCATGTCATTTTATTTAAAAGTTATATAAGATAGTACAGGATTTTCATTCTTTCTGCTATTTCTGTATCACCGTTAAATTAAATTGGATTCCAGAACGTTATATGTATAAGTTGTAAAGACCTATTTTTGAAAGAAGTAGACTATTTATACTGCAAGAATATCATTACACTCGAAAACAGATCAAGTAGTAGCGGAGAGGAAGATATTTCTGTCGCAATATTGAAAAAAGAGAATAATAAGCAAACATTTATTAGTGGTAACATCGAAGCACTTTCGTATTTGGAATTTAAATCGAAGAAACTCCAATCTCTTATAAATTTTCTCCAAATATAAAAATATTTTTCTTCAAATATAATATATCCCTGCCATCGTCGGTGCCAGTCGACCTTTTCAGTTCAGCATAGCAAATAAGTATCCCATCGAAATCGCTTATCAGACAAAATATTATTCGAAAAACTTTTATTTTTAAGAAATAAAAACTTAAAATTGTGAGCACTGTTTTAATATCCCTTTTACAATTTGCGTAATTCTTTTCAGAAATTTTTATGGATAGTCTCATAAACACAAAATTATGTAAAAAATTATCTAGATAAATCACGATAATCATTTCATCTTTTATCTAGCTTAATTAAAAACAAAATCATCTTTATCTCATCTAAGATGAATTTACGGATTTTTATCTTATCTTCATCTCAGATTATTTTGAAATCATCTAGGTACGGGAAACACTGCCGGGTGCCGTTGCTAAATCGCAAGAATTATCGCATAGACGACTACGGCTTAGGGATGGTTACGGTTCTTTGCTTAAACAGTTTAAAACATACACACGGATATTCCTCTCGAAAACGAAGATCCAAAAGCTGCGCTGGCTCGCATTTCGCTGGTCATTGCTCCGTTCCTAGGACTCCGCGGAAGCCGCCGGTTTTATCCGTCAAAATCTCACCTCGCCCGGGATTAACTGCCCTTCAGCGTACTTCAGCGAGCTACGGCGCCTCCTTCGAGATGCGCTTATCAAAGGAACTTTCACGACGATATTTTTGTCTGTCTTCGTACCCTCCTGAGAAAAAGTTTGCAAGGCGGGAATTAGCGGGGAACTTTATAGCCGCGATCGTAAAGCACCGCGGTCCGCGGAGTTAAGCCGTGCACGCGCCTTGATCTTCCCCTGCAGCCTTTTATTTTTTTTCCCTCACCTGCGCCCGATGTACTTGGTTTTCTCTCTGATTTTCCGCGTTCAATGGAACCTACTTAATTCAGTCGTCGTACGCCGTCGTAGACTGTTAAAAGCAAATTTGCTATATGACATAATATTGACTTAGCGTCCTGAGCAGCTTAAGATACCAAATTAATGAACCTCGGCAAATATGAAATTTAAAGTATCTCGGTTGTTCTAACGCGAAACATATCCTATTCGACACTCTTATTTGAGATTCTCCTCTCCTCATTATAATTTTCTGGAAAAAAAAAAAAAAAACAAGACAGTATGTGATATCATATATGGTTTTATGTCAGAGTTACCGTCGAAAATGACGAGTACTAAATTCCTCTAATATCAAACTCGTAAATATATAAGTTCTTCAACGCGGTTGACAATTTTCTGTTCGACCGCGATAGTAGGACGACACACATAAATGATATATAAACAAACCTCCAAATTAAACGTGAAACTGACGCTGATCGAATTCGGCCGAAATAACTGACGTTAATTTCCTTGTCGTACAACAAGGCGTGTATTCCCACCGTGGTCTCTCTCTCTCTCATCGTTAAATACGATCGTCTAATTCCGAATTTCGGTCGCGTCACGCGAAGCTCGCGAAGTGCCACGAAATTAGGATGGGCGTCACAAGAGGCGAAATATCAGCGGGTCGGGATTTATCAGTGGACGGCGATCGATTTTCGCCGGAATGTCAATATCCCCTCTTATAAGTCTTTCGGGGGAGGAAAGGACGTCGTTCGTTATAGGACGATTACTCGGGAACCGAGGGCTACTCATGAATAGCCGAGGGCCGAGTGTACAAAAGCGCGCGAGAGGCACAGAGACGACCGTATCCCCTCGTGCATATTGCAAGGGAAGCCTCAAAATTACTTTCGAGCTCGGTTGGTAGTTAATGCTCGCCCCTTTCTCTCTCTCTCTCTCTCTGTCCTTCTTTCTCTTCGTGCACTGGGGCTTTAAATATTCCAATTGACGAAGTTCGCGTCATCGGTCGGTCGGTCGGTCGGTCGGTCGGCTGGCTGGCCGTTCGGTGCCACGACAATAGGTGCACCGAGAAAGCTAAATGAGCCGCGACGTAATTCAGTCTCGAAGTTTTACGCGCGGCGCCGTCACGAATCGCAATGTCGCGTCACACTGACGTTTAGTTTCACTCAGGGAACTCGTCCTTTTCCCGACAAAGGACAAAGCCCACCCTGCCATGCTCGCTCGTCTATCGAAAGGTGGACGCGCCATTGAAAGACCCAGCCAAGGGGTAAACGATTTTTTCGTTAGAAATGATCTTATCTCGCCTTATTTTATCCCCCTGCGAGAATGCCGTTATCGCCGAAGTCCTTCAACTTTGACAGCGTAAAGCATGTGTCACTTGGAACGAGTAATGAGAGGAAGACCCATATTCGCCGGTGACGGAAACGTTCGCAAAAGGAAAAGAGGTATAGAGAAATGAATATGCGCGCGGAAAAACGTGAAAGGTACGTGAGCGAGTGCCTATTGACGTCGATCTTTTCCGGCATATCGAGCGACGAAAATTCAAAATGAGACAACGGGAATATGCTGCGGGACGTGCGGGAGGATATAGGTCCTGTGTGTAGTGCCGTGTGCGAGAAGCTACGTCAGTTATTTTAGTGTTCGCCGCGAGAGAGAGAGAAATCGATGTTAAGGACATTACATCGCCGTCGTCGTCGCCGTCGCCGCATCGTCGCGTACGGCAGTCGCGTCGGTTGAAAATCGACGAAAAAGCGAGAAAAAGGAAGCGTGATCGACGAGAAGAGAAAGAACGTTTTCGCGAGTCGAGAGTCGACGATCGATGAATATGGAACGGGGGGAAGGGAAAAAAATCGCTCGCGGGCGGGAACCAGGACGCGCGCGCGGAAATGTTCCGCGGGCGCGATTCGGTATATCACGCGCACACACAGCACAGCGGTTGAGACCAAGCACGCGTAGTTTCTGCGGGTCCCAGACATCGACGTGGATTCAATTTGATGCTAATACTTGCAGATGATATACTACAAAGGTATCAGGCCACTGATGAAAGTTAAACAGCCGGTGCGCGGGAGTGAATGGCAAAGTGGTATTACAACAACTTTCGTATGCTCCGGCCCAAGTATGCGTACAAACGGCGAACAATGCGCGTTATACGGACATGTATATTGTATATATGTGCGACGGTTTTACCGCTATCTCTTTTTGAACAATGAGCATTATTACGCAATTATTTGCTCGTATGTGACACGTTTTATTGAATCGAGAATACCTTGCGGTGGTTTCGTATTATTGTCCGAAATATATGTAACGCCAAGTAACCGAGGCGAGAATGCAATTAGCTGTGAGATAAAATAAGAAGGATCGTGCATAATTAGGCGTTATAGCTATTATTGTTTGATTTTTGCTATTTTAATTTTATTCGCGAAGGATCTTTAATCTTTTATAGTTTTTTTTATAGTTTACGTATCACGTATACCTCTATATTTTTTCTTGGAATGTAAAGTTAGCTTTGTAAGACTATTTTCTCACGTTATTATTTATTTATATCTGTTTCTTGTAAATAATACAATTAATGGACATTATATTTGAAATAAAGATACAAACACGAGATGAAAATAAACGCGATTTTATTGATCCTTCGTTAGATATTTAAAAAACTTGCGCTATAAGCGATGCATGTCAGATCCAGGTTTCTTTATATTTTATTATAATAGATATTACGGAAAGAAAGCAAAATTACATAAATTACCGCTCTCAATTACAACGAAAAAAAGATTTACCTTATTGCTACCAATGTAATAAAAATTTCGAAGAAACGACGGAGATATTTTTTAAATGTCCATACGATTCCTGAGACTATTAATAGCCATCAAATAAAAGTCCGATATCCTTTCATGATAACACTTCGTTATTCCTTTAATACAATTAATACATATAATAAAACGTTATCTTGATTATCGTCAGTGACACTAATGACTATAATACGGATTTGATTTTTCATGAAAGGACAACACGCTTTTCGTGGATTCAAGGATCCATCTGACGACCGTTTGACTTTTCTTCTTTTTGACCTTTGCTCTATTTTTGTGACGATTGATCCCCAAGGCATTATGATACTCTTTAACGAATTGCGTCATTTGGCGACCACCGTCCTAGCGATATTTTACTGCTCTGTCGGACTTCATCATTTTATTTATTTATTTTTCTTTCTTTCTCTCTCTTTCTCTCTCTTTCTCTCTCTCCCTCTCTCTCCCTCCCTCCCTTTCTCTCTTCCTCTCTTTCTCTCTTCCTCTTTAACCCTAGAAAATAGTTCAACGTGAAACGTGGACCGCCCCATTTGCATGGATTTCAATCTCAAAGATCGTGGACCTGCGAGCGGTATCCTTCGGATAGACGTCGTCGTTACCCCTTTCTAGTCTGAATTAATGGCCTAGACGGTGCAGCCCCCAATAGGTACTCTTGGATATAATTTTAATCTCTTATTTCGTGTTGTTTATTTTATTTTCATTATTCAAGCGATAATACCTTCCAGATAGGCATATCAATGCTTCTTTTCAGCGTTGATGATCTGGACAGCATTCAATAGATATCCTCGATGGAGAATTTTAACGCTTTAAATTCTCAATTTCGCGAATACCTATTAATCGAGAAAGAGAGAGAGAGAGAGAGAGAGAGAGAATTTTATCTGTAGTCACGATTACATTCCAACTTCGCGAATATTCAGGAATAATGTCCGGACGCTTTGTGATGCAATTTGTGCGGCGATTATGAAAGCCAGGTACATACATCGAAATGCGTACAAACTGCTTTCGGCGAAACAGTAAAGCGAGAGCGAAGCTTTTTACTGCTTCGTTCATAGAAGGGGAGTTTCCGCGAATGGCGCCGGCGAAGTTGGAAAACTCGCCCGTACATACCGGTAACGCTAAGAAACTTTTAATGAAAATCGAGCAAGACTCTTTTCTATCCCCGCGATCTTCCGTCGCGGGGAATGGATTCGAAAATGGTTTTTCGAAATTCTATCTATCTCGGATGCGCCGCGACACACGATGTGTGTATCGTCTATACAAAGTAACGCGCAGAATAGCTTCGCCTCCTTTTTTTTATTTTTATTTTTCAACTTATTTTCAATGCCTATACAATCGGAGCAAAAGAAAAGAAAACGAATTCATATTCCGCAAAAGAAAGATTGCAAACGAGAAGAGGAGAAATATAATTCAAATATGTTATATAATCCATAACAACGCCGAGTCAGGCTTCCCAGTTCTTTTTTCCTTTATAACCGATAAATCCCCAGATTTCACACCTAGCCTAATTAAATTCAAATAGAAAAAATTCCTCTGGACATTTGACCCGTGGAAGTGAGACTTCAGAATTTTTTATTACCGCTTTATTAGAAACATTAAAGAAAATCAAATCTATTTTCGTGGTATACTTATTGTGAGCCACGTGAAAGATATCTGAATATGTTTCTATCGAAAAGGAATTTGAATAGTCCTATATTAAACGTCGTATTGTGGAAAGCGCGCGAAAGGTTTCTCTTTTCTCTCCCCCCCCCCCTCTCCCCTCGTTCGCATCTTTCTCCGATCCTGCGGTCGAGCTTTGGCTCGCGTTCGTAAAGAGTTCGATTAATAAAATCTCACGCCAGTTGAACGAGCGTCGTAACGACGTCGGCGCCAACGGACGCGACGGAGGTGCATGACGATGACGCGAGAAGACGCGTCGGCCGATCGTAAGAGTGGCGAGTCAGGCGAGTGGCGAGGTGGCGAGATCCGCGCGCGCGAGAGAGCGAGAGGGAAGGATAGACGGGCGAGAAGGCCGCGCGAGCGAGAAGGAGGGCGCGGGCGGAGGAGTGAGAGGGATGGCGGACGGATTCGCGGGATCGGTGGCGTGAGCGATCCACGCATGCGCGCTGGCGCCTTCGAAACTCGGCGCGCGTTCTCTCCGCCGCCGCGTCGCGCGGGCCGCCTGCCTGCCGTGCCGTCTCTCCGTCGCTGCCGTGAGTTCAGTCCGTTCAGTGGTGCACGATCGGTCGCGTGATACGCATGTCGAGAGGCACGCGGATCGCGGGTGAAAGAGAGCCGAGAGAGCAAAACTAAAAGAGCACCGAGAGTCGCAGACGCGCGCGCGCGCGCATACGTACATTGCACGCACACGGCACTGCATATTGCCTCTGCTCTACTCTGCTACGCTCTGCTCTACTCGCGATCAGTTACTTTCCATCTACCATTTTTCGCTCGCGCGCTATCCCGTACGCGCGCGTGTTTCTCGACTGAAGTTCGCCGAAGGACGGACCTTCATCTCTCATCGTTCGGCGACCAACTTCTCGCCGTACGGCGCGCGGCACGCAGCGAGATTCGACAACGTGAGCGGCCCGTAACATGAAAACACTTATGGAGAATCAGCTGTCCTGGCTCGCGCTGTTCATGACCGCCTTGTATTCCCGTGAGTATTCATCATTCCAGCCGCCTCGCACAGCCTCCCTGCCCTCACCCGCCCCCTCGCCCCGTTCCCGGCCTCTGCTCGCGCGCGACGACCGGCGACCGGCGTTTTCGCTTCTATTACGTTACAACGTCAACGGAGCCCCCCGCTTCGCGCATTTATTTTCTTTGATCTCGCCATCCACTCCGTCTCCCCTGCCACGATTGCAGAAAGTGCAATTAAGTCGAGCTGATCCACGGTCCTCGAGGAGCTTTTAATTGGAGTAGATTGACAGAGAGCGGACCGAATCGTACAATTCCAGATCGCTCGTATCGAAATATTGCGCGTTCCATTCCCTTTCACGTGATGCTTCTCGATCCTCGTTTCGAGATCTTCTAGTGGGAGTTTTCGAGATTACTCCGCGTTGACAAAGTACCATTAGACACACTGCACGTGAGGATCGGGAGTTTGTCAAAGATTGATTTATAGAATTAGGAAGAAATTAATAGACAAAATATATGGAATAATGAATTAGTAGATAAGATTAAGTAGTACGTGGTTGCGTGGAAAGTACGAGTGAGTTACGTTACTTTTAGTAAACCAAGTTCACTTCTTGACATACGTTGAAGTCGACGGAGATCGATTTGATTGAGATATCACTCCGCGTTCTCTTTACTTATCTCGTCTCTTCCGATCGTCTCGCGTTTCTCTATCCGATCCGGATCTTTCCTGACGTGAATCCACGTGCCTCGCCGCTGTAATATGCAAGAGGAAACGCGCGCTTCACGTCCCGACACGCGTGAAAGTGACGTGGAATGAGGGATGACGTTTAAGGGATGGGGGATGACCTACATCTCCGCAAAAACAATTGGAGCCGCGCGTGGTTGTCGCGCGTTGATTGCAAAGTCATCAAACTTGAAAATTGATTCGCGAAGGAAACAAAAAAAAAATGCGCGCGACACGATGACCATCGCGACGTCCAATTTCACGTAGCTCGCATTTCTCACGAAAATATGGCACCGCGTGCGAACGCTCGCTCGCGCTCGTTCGACGCCTAAACACGTCCGGTCTTCAATTCCGCGTCCGACGAAATTCTCACGTTGCACAGTCGACATCCGGACGAAAGACGGAAGTCCGGGGGCGTTATATCGCTTTTCCGAACTTGGCTCTCTCGTCGCTTTCGGGACGAACGTGTAATAAGTGCCGCACGCGACAACCCGTCGCCTCTTTAGAAACGTAGGTCAAGGACGGCGCTCCAAGTGCATAACGGTGGAGGAGGATCGACGGCGTACTAGATTAAAGCAGGACGCGCGCGCGCGCGGACCTTGTCGACACGTCCCGGCGACGTCACTGAAAATTCATCCAGACGGGACTTAAGACGTCTTATGTCTCGATTTGGGATATTAAGACGTCTCGTGTCTTAATTTTGGACATTGCGTTATCTGGATTTAGGATAAGAACGTTGAAGCGCGCGAGATGAGAACGCTATAGAGATAGGAGAGACGCCAAATATCGCGCGGGCGTTTCCACGACGTCTCAACTCGAGTTGACGTCAGTGAACGTCGATTGCGCGTAAACAGTCGTCGCGCGGTGCCAAGTGTCACGGCGAAATTAGAAGTCGATAATTCGGGGGTGTGTCACGACGTAGCGAATAATTTCGTGCGAAATTATCGCCGGACTCGATCATCTCTCCGATAACCCGATCGAACTTTCGAAAGATATTTTTAACGAGGCTGCAAATTATACTTGAAATTAATCTCGCGCGGAAATTAACTTTACCTTAGTTCGCGACTCCCCTTCTAGTTCCGGAGCGAGGGACAAACGATCGGTTAAACTACCTTTATAAAGTTAACGGTCGACGCGACGGCGATCGTAAAAAGGCGGGAAAATTTCCCGCGATGGAAAATGTTTCGCTAGGGCTCGCTCGATTCGGGCTCGTCTGAGGCACCGTGCGAATTGCCGTGGTAATTGGCCCTTTCCCCCCTCCCCCTCCTCTCCGCTGTGAAATCGGGGCGTTTAATTAGAATAATTAGAGCGAAGATTGATACTAGCGTGCGAGCAAAAATTCTCAAAGTATCGACCAAGTTTTATCTAATTAGGTCGCAGACCCAAGTTCCGGCGCGTTTCCTCTTCCCACCTTATATCTTTCGGCGCGGCGCGCAGCGACGCGATGTTCCGAGATTATCGAAGGGGCTGGATATCCGGTTTTGGGGACCAAAGGAAGCTTTTCGACAATTAGCGCACCAATTTCTGTACCGTATTTCGCTCGCCCGAGTTGTTTATTTTGCGTAGCGTACGCGAATAGATTTTTGCTAACCGTACGTTAATCCATCCGGCGTCACTGTGCGCGAACTAAAATTTAGCGATTGAAAAGAATCGCGATGAAATGGTTTTTTGTCGAGTTGATCTCAAAGCTCTGACGAAATATTAATTAGAACCAAAAAGTATTAAATTTTTCCCGCATTCCTTGCGGATGTTTTTTAACGACGAGAAAAAACGTACGTATATATATATATAACGCATGTTATAAAAATCACTTGAAATTTTCAGTTTCCAAATGAAAGACAATTTGAGTTTAAAATGTACGTATCGTTTGAGCGAGATTTAATTTTCGTTCGACACGTGCCGGAACCTGACAGATATTAAAATAGAGGAGTAGAGCAGTGCGCGGGGCTACGAGATTCAGATTTACTTTATTGATTAAGAAGCTGGCATCTTTGAAATAAACGGCCGACACGTGCCTGAGGGCGGGGTGGGGGCACATTCAAAGTGTCGAAGCGCGCACATCTGAAACTACACCGGAGGACCCGAATTTAAAGTCGCTCCCAGAGGCCAGACGAGCTTTAACATATACGAGGAGCGCGTAGTCTCGCAACGAGAATTTCTGCAAATTGTGTTTACGACGTTTTAGAGAAGAGACCGATTACGAGACGCGCCGGCCTTGAATTATTTCATTCAGGGTATATATTCGTTTTGTATGTGCATCTCGCGCGCGTGCATCGCAGAAAGCGAGTAAACAAATTGATCCGCAAGTAGTCCGCTTCCTGTTGACTACTCGCGTTGCGAATTACGCATAGATTTGTAAACACTAATCACTCCATTGATGATCTGGATCGCAGGCAGGTCATTTCGATTCATAACGCCGTTATAACATGTGACGTCGCCACGCGTGACGTGTGGCGTTTTTTTCTGAATAAATTCTCAGACGGATTCCTTGAACGATGTAACATTGGATTACATCATCGCGCTCGAGTCGCGCCGCTCGCGCTAACGCACCCATATATGCGAGCTTAGATAATTGACTTGTTTATCAAACTTTGTTAGATCTATGTTTAATTCCGTCTCGCGTCTGTATCGATTATTTCGTTTAATCGCAAGTAATTCTGTTTCGTATCTCCGTTATTGTAGAAGAGAAAACAGGATTTAAAGTTTATTATTTCTATGAAACGTTGCAATACGACTTTATCTAAACATTGTATCTCAGGAATTAGTAATAATGGACATAAGACCCTTATCACCATATAATAATTTAAACTTCTGGTATATTGGAAAAGGTATTAACTCCAATTTTGACAGAAACTGGAGAGAGATACGATTCTTTATCTCTAAGGTTTTCAGAATTATAATCGAAGACTTTCGCTGACAACGCGAGCGTCCTTCAGTTTTTTTCCACATTTGGTCCACATAATCGGACCAGATGATGACTAATGATGAAATAACGCGGCGATAAAGTCGAAAGTTGTCGCGAGAACGGTTCTCTACAGATCAGTCCTTTCGCGACAGGACGGTCTCTCTCCGCTACCGAAATAGCTACGGCGCGGCGGCGCTCGACAACCACGTGGGTGACTCGCTCCGTTACATCGTACGAGATGACGTAGCGACCGGTGATTGGCCGAGCGGATGGGCGTGAGTCTCGCCTCACCTTTACCGACTCACACACCGATCTCGACGCGGCGTCATCGCGTCACGCCATGGTCGCGCCATACGCGAAAAGCATCCTCGGCTCGGGCCAACCGAGACGTTTTTCCTTGACGGGAGTGACCGCCGGGGATCGCGCGAGAGAGAAAGAAAGAGATATAGAGAGCGGAGAAAATCGTCGGATGTCGGATGTCCATTTCCACCAATGCGGATTAACTTTAATCTCGGTTTAATTAATTTTTCATATTTTTTTAGTTTTAAGATTTTGAAAAAGGTAATGAGTAAGTTGAACAGAGATTTAAAGTTAATCTACATTGGTAGAAATGGACGGGAGACGCGCGCGACAGATACGAGGAAGAGACGGAGGCAGAACAGCCGGTTTGCTCGCTCGCGCGCGGACGCGCGCTCACGCACGACGCATTCCACAGAGTTTAGGTTGTTTCACGTAACTACGGGCGCGAGAATGAGGACTTGTTGCGTGACGGAGAGGAAGAGGAAGATGGAGAGAGAGATATGTAGAAAGAAGAGCAGCGTCGCATCTGCTTCTCCGCGCGAGTCATGTGACTGACTTTGATCGCGTGTCTAGCACCGCTGATTATTTTCGGCAGATTCTTCGAGACTGCATTAATGCCGCTTCATTTTGCGCCCCGCGTCTTTTCCGCATCCTCGTACTCGTCTCCTTCTTGCGTGGAGTATGTAGTAACAGCGGGTTGTTATTTTCTCTCTACGTTGCTGCTATTTATTCGAAATATGTATGATGTATGATACACAATGCGCGAAGTGACGTTGGCATAATAAACAGCGATAAACGGAGCTATATAACGCACGAAAAGAATGAAAAGGAATGGAGACCGATGTAATAAACGTGTACGGCGAGGCAAATTAATTAAAGTTAGCGAAAATCTTGCCGTTCATGCGTACCAATGTCATATTAAATGCGGAGAGAGTGCCAGAAGGCAGTGCACGTAAAACAAACAGCTACCCATTTCCTCTCTCGCGAGATTCATCTTTCATTTATGGGAAAATAAAACCGAGATGAAATAACGAGTTGTACGCGGTGGATGCTCCAAGGATGCGGATATATTATTGTAATAGATAACTCCATT